CGGAGAGCACGCCGGAGCCGCCGAGGTCTGGCATCGCCCTCCCCTCCCGCGTGTCCGGGGCTGTGGGTGCTCGCCCCTCTCGGACGGGTTCCTGCTTCTGTCCCACCGATTCGCCGCTGTCACTCGAGCAGACGCGGCGCCGCGCCCCGCGCCGAGCCCCCCCTGGGGAGCGTTGTTTTCTCGTACCGAGTAATGCACCCCCTGGGGTGCGCTCTCAGAGATCTCAGTGCCCATCCTTCCACTCTTGCCCTCGTGGGAAGTGGTTATTTTTACCGAGTGGTGTTTGAAGTCACTAGGTCTCACTAACTGGGCTTTGGTTAGTGCTTTTGTGGAGGATAAACCACTCGTGAATGCATCGGGGCGAAAACTTTGAAATTTTCTCATTCGGGCTTCACCAGGAAGCACCTTATGAACTTATAATTATTATTCTGGGACGAAGAAGGGGGGAAAAAAGTAATGCACATAACAGTTCACTCTGAAGTTGAAAGCAAAGTGCGCTATTGGTTTCTTGGGGTCTTGGGGGGGGGGTGGTCGCCCAGCAGACACTTGGTAATGCCATAAGACATCTTGACTGTAAGTGCAAAATATTTATTAGTGGCTTCTGGTGAATAGAGGACAGGGACATTGCTGAGCTACAAATCACAGGACAGCCTCATCCCCCTCTACTCCAAAAAAGAAAACACCTCAATAACAATGGTACATGTACACGATATACACAGTTTCTAAACTCAATGTATTTTTAAAAATGCTTTTGTGTGTAGTGTGTGTGTTTGTGTGTGTGTGTGTTTGTGTGTGTGTGTGTGTGTTCTTGAATGCTCGCGCTCGTGATTGGGCTTTGCAAATTAGAATAGAAGCCTATTTATGTTCTTGAGTGCTCGCGCTCGTGATTGGGCTTTGCAAATTAGAATAGAAGCCTATTTATTTTATTAGGTAATTTTCCTGTTTGTTATTGAGGCAGGGATCTTGCTATATTTCCCATGTTGGCCTTGAACTCCTGATCTCAGAGATTCTCCTGTCTCAGCCTCACAAGCAGCTGGTCTCCACCAAAGAACCAAACTTGAAATTAAGTTTTAAGATTTTTACATCAGAAGGAAATCATATATATTATTTTTTAAATACTGAATAATTTTAAGTTTCCCTAAAATTCACTGTGCATAAATTCATGAACATGCTGAAATTGATTGAAACAAACAATTGAGAAAAAAATTAAGAGTAAATACTTGGTCAGCTTTTGCTGTGTGACTACCAGTATGCTAAGCAGTGTTGTGAAGACAGAGTTTCTATTCCCCCTGGTCCCACCGCCATTTAGTCCCAAAGAAAAACACACAGAGACTTATATTAAGTGTTGTTATTTTGCTTTTAAACATTCAATTTTCATAATCCTTAGGAAATGAATCATACTATTATTCTCACCTTTCACATGAGGCAGTGAGCCCCTGTAGGGTCATAGAACTGAGAACCACACCTAAGCAGTTCTGCTGGTCTCTGGCTTTAATAATTGTACCGTCATGTTCAGAGCGTCTGTAGAGTAGAATGCCAATGCCCTCTGTCTTCCTTTCTTTTCTCACAGTGCCTATAGTTAAAAGTGTATGACTCAGAATGTTGTAGCTAGCATATTGAAAAGTTGCAAAGCCAGTGGATATGACCTGTTCTAAATTGTTAAGAGTTCCATGCCTCATTTTTCCTCTCATACTTTTTTTTCCAAGACAGCGTTTCTCTGTGTCCTGGCTGTCCTGGAACCCACTTTGTGACCAGGGTGGCCGAGAACTCAGATATTCACCTGCCTCTGCCTCCTAAGTTCTGGGATTAAAGGCACTACTACCACCCACCCTCCCATATTTTATTTATTTATTGAGACAAGGTCTCAGTATGTAACACTGGCTGGCCTTTGACTCAAGATCTGCCTGCTTCTCCTCTAGTGTGCTGAAATTCAAACTATGTTTCTCTGTGCCTAGCTTTTCCCCATATCGTAACAACCTAGAGATAAATGTGCATTTTAAAAATCAACAACTTAATTTAAATGGGCAACATTTTCCAAAATTAAGTATTCAAGTAGTATGTATGTTAGTCATCACAATTTAGCCATTTATAGTAAGTATTTCAAAAGATAATTTTGTACATGATGAATATTATACAATATTTTATTAATTTGAAGTAAATGGTTAACACCTTTTCTTAGTGGCGCATGTAATAACTGCACCCATTTTTAGCAGGTGTTATCTCTGATGCAAAGTTATAGAAGCAGTCCAAAACAGTATTTTTTCTTTTATACAGGAGCCAATGACAGATTTTTTTATTGTTATAAACATGACCTGATCTTGCTTATTTTTCATTATGTCCTTTTAAAGTTTCCTTACCTTGTTTTGGGAATAGAGGTACACTGTGGGTATATCTAACATCTGAATGTAATAAACTTGATGCATTAATAAATGTATCCTTTTTAATTTATTAGGGAGAAAATGCTCGAAAAAGAATCTTGTGTCCTTTAGATCCAAAACAGTAAGTATGGGTTCAAATAAGTGTTTTTTGTTGTCATTTGGGGAGTAGGTATGGGCGTGTAGGGGTGTGATGTAATAGAAAGAGTAACTTCACAAGGCTCATTTAAGATTTTCTCTCTCTTAAATTTTCTCTTTAAATTTAGCACTGTATATGAAGACCAACTAGCAAAACATTTAAAAAAATGTAACTCAAGAGAGAAGCCAAAGCCTGTAAGTATTTAAAACATATGGTATGTGGTGTGTCTGTGTGTCTGTGTGTGTCTTAGTATTATAAGGTGTAGGTTGAGTTTGGCAAATGTATTTAAGTTCTCATTTGATAGCTGTACTTATCTTCTCTCCTTCTTCTCCTGCCTCCTCTTTTCTTCTTTCTTATTCTTGTGTTTTGTCTGTTTGGGGTTTTGGGGGTTTTTTTGTTTTTTGTTTTTTTTTGTTTGATTGAGGCAG